AGTTAGATCTGGATTAAAATATAACATTATCAACTTCCTTGGCAATCCCTAGTCCTAGTCGAGAGCTAAGAACATGCAGAGAATTGGCAATTCTAGCAATTTTCCAGTTGGGCTATTCTCTTATTTGTGATCGCTCCCTTAGTTGTTACAGTCTTGTATTATGCTTTGAATGATCGAATCTATATGCTAACATAGCTCATAGCAGCAGAAGCCCTTACGCTTCTAGAGTACCTCAAATCCTCAGGAAATCTGGCTCAGTGGGTTTACCAGTATGAGTCTGGTCCACATTTCTTTTTGTGATGCCTTGGTGGGGCATCTGCTAGCGTAATCGACATTTTATTGTTTCCTAATTGATTTGTATTGAATTGGACTGATGCCTCTTCTTTGAAGAGGTTTGAAGGCAGAACTTTTTTCCATTATCTAAAAAAAAAACTGCTAGCGTAATAATAAGAGGAAAAAAGTTTGACTAAGCAAAAGAGGAACTAGGTGGACTTTTAATTGAGAAGAACTAGGCACTCAAATTCAAGTTAAAGAGGACTCAAACCTAGGTATTGGGAGTGTACACCCACCGAGTGTGCTAGCATAGCGTGTAGGAAAAAGGGTGGTCCATATGGCATTCCTGCTGTGGTGCTGCCTAAAAAATTTAGCAGTTCTGGTGCTCATCTAGTATTGCGTTAAATAGGTACTATTCTAGTCCTCTTCATACAGTAGGTATTGATTAGCATGCTTAATAATTGTACTGTAGCAAGTTTTCATTGTGAGAATAGCCAAACATTCATTGCAACTTTAATTGTGTATGGATATGGATATTTATATCTACACTAAGTTATTGATATCATGGAGTTCAGTTGTAGTTTGTATCCCAGTATAATATGAATCAAAACAATTCGCATATTATCAATAAGTGCTCGATAAATTTGGGCTTGTGTTTTGATTTAGGGTGTCCTAACCATATGAAAATAGTTTTCTCGAATATCATTTCAGGCATTAATCTTGAGTAGTATTTAGAAGCTATTAATGATCTTTCACAAATCATCAATTCATCATGATACATTTTCACGCCTACAAATTGTAACCCAAATAGTTAGGCCTTGGGTGAAATTCATTCCTAGAAAATCTAGGCTTCATTTGGTTTTGCTTTTCTTCCCTTGAACATTTCCTTCCATTCTGATAAAGAAAAGCCAAGTAGATTCTTATGTTATGTAGGTTGTTGTCTAACTTGATTCCTCTAATTGTGTTACAGAAGTTCTTTTGGATGGCACAGTTAATTTGTTCATGGTTTGCTGTCAATTGTTATATAGCTGCCTACTTGTAGAACTGTAGAAGTGATCTGTACCTCTGAAATACATTAATTTAAAATGTCAGATAAAGAAAAGTATGGCATTTATATCCTTATAATAATGTTGATACCTGTTTGTCAGTTAGTAGAGGTGTTATCCTGTAGCACCAGTAGTCTGGTGGTACTTTTCTGCCTGTGGGCAGGTACATGGTTTGCTATTTGCCTATCAAGTGTAATAACTCCCAGATCATGTTGAGGATGAATACATTTTGACATGGTTGGTAGTCTTTATAGAAAGATAACATGTTAAAGCTGGAACTTTCAGGGGACTAGTTGATAGCATGATTGCTATTACTGTTGACACCATATCATGATTGGAATGCCGCCTCTGAAAATGGTTTAAACTTTTAAGCTGTCTTTCTCAGATATTTTCCTGGTTATTATCTATCATTGATTCATTGTTTATTACTATATCAGTTTAAGTAATTTGAGAAAGCAGTAAGTAATGTTTGGCTCATGCTACAGGCTGCATCACCACCAAGGAGCTTGGAACTGTGATGCGCTCATTGGGGCAGAACCCTACCGAGGCTGAGCTTCAGGACATGATCAATGAGGTTGATGCTGATGGCAATGGAACCATCGACTTTCCTGAGTTTCTCAACCTGATGGCACGCAAGATGAAGGACACTGACTCTGAGGAGGAGCTCAAGGAGGCCTTCCGTGTGTTCGACAAGGACCAGAACGGCTTCATCTCCGCTGCTGAGCTTCGCCATGTCATGACCAACCTTGGTGAGAAGCTGACGGACGAGGAGGTGGACGAGATGATCCGTGAAGCCGACGTGGACGGTGATGGCCAGATCAACTACGAGGAGTTCGTGAAGGTGATGATGGCCAAGTGAGATGCGCCCCCAATTTGAAGCTAGTTCCTCTCCTGATGATAGTAACTAGTCTAGTGTTGGAGACTGACTGCATTTGGTTATGCCTTATTCCTCTCCCTGCTTCAATGGACATATCCGTTTGTTTTCTCCCAAGGGATTTTACCATGTCGGTAATTTTCGTTCAAATTTGTTTGTGGTTGTATTACAATTTGTGTTATCTTGGTACAATGATCATGCCTTTCCCTTCCAAATTTAGGTGTTTGAATTTCTTGCAGAAATACATGGTACGTATGCAGGTCTAGCTATATCCGGTTTTGTTTGTTTTTTTTAAGAATTATACAACGCACACGCACGCACACGCACCCTATGAACACGTACACAAATCCTAACCCTAGCAGATCTTGCCGTCGGCTCAATTTCTCCGCACTACCTTCTGCCTAGGCGTTGACCGTAGAGGTAACTGAACAACAGTGTTGCTTTGGTGACATTAAAGGCTCTGCTTTGGTCTAGAGGCTGACTGGAGATCTCTTGATTGTTGGCCGTACGGCAGGACATAAGTGGAAGTACGATCTTACCCTTTTTCTGTTTGAACGAGTCCTTTTACTCGATCAAATGTAGAAGTCTGTCATGTGTATCAAATTGGTTAAGGCACCGCAATCCGCAAGAAATTGCACCAGTCTTCTTGTTTTCCAAGTGCAGGTGCTGGAAGATGACGACTAGTAGGTTTGTCAACGCTCAAAAGAGGCAAAACCTGGAAGAAGTATTCAACAAAGGAATTCGTCAATGGAACTTCTCTTGGACTGAATCTCCTCGTCTACCCATCCTTTTTTTCCACAAAAAGAAACAACTTTTTTCAAATGTTAGAGATTCCCCCATCCCTTTAAACTTCAATTAGAAAAAAGAGGCGACCTGATTATTCAAATAACACAAGGTAGACGTTTCAAGGGAGGCTGCTTCTCTTAAAATAAATGAGAAAAAAGCAAAGCGAAGCCAACCTTTTATGGTTCAGCACTTGAGCGCAAAGTGACATTCCAGACTCCGTTTGCAATACCATTTTTGAATTAATTTAAATGTGCAGGAGATTCATGCAAATTCTTCTCTGAGGGTTTGAATTCTGTGCAAATGCATTATCGATTATATAATTGCAAGCGTGTTGAACTGAGGAAGCTTTAAGTGTATAAAATACTGCTCCCTCTATTATAAATTATAAGATGTTTTAGTTTGTCTAGGTACATAGCTTTTGCTATCCACTTAAATATACACTGTGTCTAGGTATACAGTGAAAGCAATGTATTTAGAAAAATTAAAATGTCTTGTAATTTGGAACAGATGGAGTATCTTTTAAAGGATGCAAATTGGGTATACGCGTTGTTTGACTTTGATTTGTAGTTAGAATACTAGTAGACTAGTTGTGTCCCTTATCTCTAGTATTTTCTAAAACAAAGAATTATGAAAGCTACCATACCTTATTTTTCATGCACTTGCAATAAGTTAATGCGTCTTCACAGGTATGCATGCACCCTTAATTCAAGCCCAGACACAAAAAGCATGATACTATTATATATCGAACTACTTTCTTATTATCCGATCCTAGCTCGCTCTCCCTGGAGTTTATCTATCTATCCATTAAAGAAACCAAGAGCCAAACTAAAGCAGATTAAATAACAGATTAACAAAACTAGATACTCGCCACGTTTAGTTCCAAAACCAAATTCCCAAAAAGTGCTACAGTAGCCATCACATCGAATCTTGCGATACGTGCATGGAGCATTAAATGTAGATGAAAAAAAAACTAATTACACAGTTTGGTTGGAAATCGCAAGACGAACGTTTTGAGCCTAATTAGTCCATGATTGAACACTAATTGCTAAATAAAAACGAAAGTGCTACAGTAGCCAAATTACCAAATTTCACCTAACTAAACACAGTCACGGATTTGGATTTTTATATATACAAATGAGCAAAGCTGTTTTCATGGGCCGTGAGTGCATCTGATCAGAGACTAGATTAACTTCATGACACCTTTCTTCTGTTCACACTCTTTCTTTCTCCCACCTTTTACAGTGTGAATCAGATCAAGGAGAGGAGCTTTTTTCTACGGTTGCATGCAGCATGCGTGCAGGGCAGTTCAGCAGCTGCCAGTTCACTGTTCACGTAATGGCCATCTCATGCCTACAGCGAAAAAAAAATGTCCTTCTGATGTTAGTCTACCACTACCAGTGCTGCAGATCGATGCCGTAGGCCTCATGCATGCCAGCATGGGTTCATTTGATTTTGCTACCTGAACTCCATGAGCTACCCGTGCCTAGATTGTCTCCAGCCAGCCGCCTAACAACCTGCCCTGGTTGACATCGACTGACATCGACTATATATATATATATATATATATATATATATATATATATATATATATATATATATATATATATATATATATATATATATATATATATATATATATATATATATATATATATATATATATATAATCTCCCTACATTACCAGAGTTTTGATATGATGCACAATCATATACTTACTAGAACGATAGTGAAATGCATGATGGTCTCAAGTCGAAGTCAAAGATGAAGAAACCCAAACTTCAAACGTGAATCATCAAGTGTATATACATCATCGCGACGTCAATCCATATCTCGAGACTGACGTGTATATCTTGCACGAGGTGAAAAACGAACAGACCGAGCAAAACAGCCGTAGATTAGTCTCGTAACATAACTACTGTGACAGTAACAGTAACATCCATCTAAGGTTTATCAATCAACTACTGAAAACGAGGTCCAATTCGCTCTCGAATCGATTCAAAGCATTCTCTTCTGCTTTGGATTCATTTGAGTGCGCCACTCATGGTGCCTTTGTTGTTCCGATGCGATGGCAGAGCGGCGCACGACGACAAGCCGGTTGCGACGCCGCTGTCGGAGTGCTCGGTGCACTCGACCTTGGTCGCCCTCACCCTCTTGCTCCTCCTCCTGACGCGCTGCCCCCACGACGCGACGCGCCTGCACACCCGCTCCACCACGCCGCCGCTGTTCCCGTGCCGCCACCCGGCGCTCTCGAGGGCGCCGCGCAGCTCGGAGACCACCTCGTCCATGGCCGGCCGCTGCTCCACGGTCTCCGACACGCACCGCGCCGCCAGGGACAGGACGCGGGCCACGGCGCGGTCTGCGTGCGCCGTGGGCGGCGCGGCCACCCTGGCGTCGAGCACCTCCCGCGCCCGCCCGGCGCCGATCAGCGGCGCAGCCCAGGACACGATGGACGACGGGCACGAGTTGATGTCCATCACCTTGCGCCCACTCACGAGCTCCAGGAGCACCACGCCGAAGCTGAACACGTCGCTCGCCGGGCCCAGCCGCCCGGGCTCCGTGTAGCAGGGGTCCAGGTACCCGATCGTGCCCGCTGGGGCTGGCCCCGCCGACGCCGAGCTGCCTTCTTCGTCGTCTTCGTCCTCCTCCTCCTCCTCCTCCCTGACGCTGACCGCGAGGCTGAAGTCCGCGAGCCGGGCGCGGCCGTCGCGGCCGAGCAGGACGTTGGCGGACTTGACGTCCCGGTGGATGATGACGCGCGGCGCCGCGGCGTGCAGCGCCTGCACGGCGCGCGCCACGTCCAGCGCGATCTCCACGCGGCGCGGCCACGGCGGCGGCCTCGGCGACCGGTGTAGCAGGTCGTGCAGTGACCCGTTGGGCATGAACTCCATGACGAGCAGTGGAGGCAGCCGTGGCCCCGACGAGGCCGGCGGAGGCGGCGATGACGACGACACCCCGACGATGCCGATGACCCCCGGGTGGCGCGGCGCGGCCGAGAGCACGGCGATCTCGTTGGCGAGCTTGGCCTCACCCTGCGCGTGCGACGGCCGCTTGACGGCGACGACGACGGACATCCTGCCGCCTCCCCTCAGCCTGGCCCTGTACACGCTGCCATGGCTACCCTTGCCCACGAGGTTCTTCGCCGCGAACCCGCCCGTCGCCGCCTCCACCTCCTCGTACGAGAACTCCTTCATGGCTACGCCAAGTGCAGCTAGCTATGGCGTTGCGTGTTGCTGGAACTGGAAGAGGAGGCTCGGAGCTACTAGGAGCTAGCAATGGAAAGCAGTTTGTTAGCAGCAAGCAAAGCAACTAGGCAGGGAATAAAGGGCAAAGAGGGGGCAAAGAAAGAAGAAAAAAAAAAGGTAAAGGCGGCAAGGATCATCAAAGGAAGAGGAGGGTGTGGTAAAGTTGATCATTGCAGTTTTTTTTTTGAGAGAGAGAAAAAGATTGCTCTAATATATAGAGAGAAAGAGGATGATGATGATGCTGTTGCTCTGGTAGTCTGGTCCCCTAAACAATAAATTTTCAGAGTCTTCGCTGGTTGGTTTCTGGGTTAATAAACCCGGCTGGTGCTGATTTGTTGTGAGAAGAAAATACTGTACCATGACTGATAAGTCCTGGCTGAAACCAACAAACGAACAGGTTGTTTGTCTTCTAAAGGAAAAAAAGGACCCAGTAGTAGTAGAGAAAAAACAAATCTAACAGACCAAGCAATGGCATTGAAAGTGTCTTTTACTTGCTGTTTCCCTCCTCTTGTGATTTTCTTCTCCCTCTTGGCCTCTTTCTCTCTGCCTCTCTCTTTCCTCTTATTTGTGTCTTTGCTTCTCTCTCCTCTCTGTTGTTTATTTGTCATTAGACGGTGCATGGGAGGGAATTCTTGGACCTGATGAGATCGTTGGAGTGGTTGTGCTGGGCCTGCTGGCCGCCGGAAGGGCCTCCCAACAAGCGAACAAAATCTGCAGCAGAGAATGTTTATCTGTCATGAGGGAATGTGTGCAGGTGTTGACTGTTGTGTGGACTGGTTGAGCACTTGGACATGATGCGCGCGGCCATGAAAATACATTGCTTGCAACTGCAACAGGTGGAGGCCCTACGCACCCATCGATGATAGGAACCACCCTAAAATACCATGCTTGCAACTGAACAGGCATTGTCGCCTGCTGCTGCTGGAAGAAAGAAAAGCGTGGTGTTTTGGCTTACAAGACAAGGAAAGGCTGGAGGATCCTAAATAAACAATAACAAACACGAACCTAGCTAGATATATATGGAGTAGGAGCTAGCTTCCTGTTGGTTATCTATATCGACAAAAAAGTTCTCTTGGGATATACTTCAAGTCAAGTTGTTGGACAACAAGGATAGATTGTGTGGTTGTGCAGGGCAATCAATCTTGTTATGTGGAAATTTTCCAGTTCGGTCAACCTCGGGGTGTGGTTTTCATGTTGCACATATATATGTAGCCTCCCTTAGAGCATCTTTAAGAGTCCTCCTAACATATTCTAATACAGATGTATCCTAATAAAAATCTCCCCTATATATTTTTTGCACATAGGGAGAGGTCACAAGTGCATGATTTTTTTGTCTATCTCATCACAAACCCATCATCTCTCTCTCCATCCACCTTCCTCCTCCCTTCGCTGCCTCAACCACTACGAGGGCCGCTGTTGACCTCCCTCCCGCTGCCCACCCGTGCCCAACCTTTAATTCCCTGTCCTTCCCTAATGTCAATCATACACCTTATTGACTCCTTACCTCCGCTACCGATTCCGCCCAACCGGATGTCTCCTGCCGCCTCACTCGTAGCCCCTCAACCCGCCACCACTGTCGGGCCGGTCACCGCCCCCGGACCCCTCCCCTTCAAAGGCCCTAGGCATGGAGAACTCAACCGCCATTGCCTCGTTCGCCGCTCCCGGCATGCGGCGACCTCTTCGCTGGTCGCACCGCCTACCACCCACCCATGCGGCCCCTCCCCCAGACTAGTTATAGCTCGTGTGTTGCGTGCGTTGGCCGGCTATGCATGCGCGTCGAATTGTGATTTTGTGTTTGCTCGGCAATTTTGGTTCTACTTGCTGTTTCATCTCAGCCCGAAAAGTGTGGTACCCAGAAGCAATGAGAGAAGCTTTGTTGGTTGATGGAGAATATGAAGTAAAATATTGGAAAGGCCCAAAGAAGAGGATTTGATCACATTTTGATCCTGGAGGCTTGGACATTATTATGGGAATCATAGAAATCAAATTGTTTTTCATGTTCTATCCTCTTCCTTGCAAGCTGCCCAATAATTCTTCAAGAAAGAGATATGGTTGTGGTGATTTGCTGGAGCTCGAAAGCTTGGGGAACTATTTTTTGGTCGCATGTATAGAAAGGTCATGTAGAAGGTCTAGTGTGAGTCTTTTGTTTTTCTGATGGTGTCGTTTCATGACGTATATCAGATGATTTTTTTTCTAGCGTTAACCTTCTCATACCATCTAGTCAGGGTAGTGAGGTTACTGTTGTATGTGATTATCTTCCCTTTTCTATTTTAATAAAAAAAATATGCAGCTCTTCTGCATATTAAAAAATATATATTTCTGTCCCCTTGCAATTCCCCTATCCCAAAGAACATATAGGACAGAATTTCGCCCCAAATTTGAGAGGATATCACTAAATTTATGGTGTTGGATATGCGGACTGCTGGAGGGTGATTTTTATTGCATAAAGTTTATTTCTTTTACTTCAAGAGATTGGATATTACATCTTGAGTATACCACACATAACTGCACTAAGCTTGCAAAAACTATCACAAAACTACACTAAATTACGCTTCTGACAATTAAATTCAAGAAGCTGTGATTTTTGTAGACTCAGTACAAACATAAACTTTACACACACGGATATTTAGCCATGTGAACACATGCACACGCCCTCTATCCCTATAAACACCTCAAGATTAACAAAGTTACCACATGGTTCCCGCTATTGATGCATGGCCATTTTCCTACCAATGAAAGAATTATGACTTGGTGACTATGCGCTTCTATTGTAATGTCCAACAATCATAAAGTCATATGATTATTGTCATTTTTGAATTGCAAATAAACTACACTTTGAAACATAAAAATGTGTAAATCTGTAAAACAAAATGAACACAACGCAAATATGTAGTTTTGTGATATGATCATATATGAACCAATGAGAAAAGCGCAATTCTTTCAAATTGATTCTTAAGAGTGTAGTTTTGTGACAGTTATTCTAATTATAGTATAGTTTTGTAAAGTTTACTATATAGAATTGTTGTTTTGCGATAGTTCTTCTAATCGCAGTACCCATCCAGTCACAAAAATATTTTACATAGGACAAGATTTGGCTAAACCTTCAACTACAATGATAATTGCCACATTATTTGGTGTTGAAATATTTAAGTTATATGTGTGGATTTGTGTTCGAAGTACTTGCAAAATCTCTTAAATTTGAAGGAATTTAATATTATATTTTAGAAGGAATTGATGGTAAAAAAAATACTCGTAAAAAAATGTACAAAATCACATGTGTCAAGTGTTTTTTTTAACGAGAGCGAATATAGTTTTGTGAAGTTTCACTCAATCTTCTACTACTAGTAGTATAAATAAAATTGGGTTCATATTACCGGGCTATGGAACTTCGGATGTTTGGACGGACAGCTCATCTACAAGAAGCTAACTCGAAGTCAAAGATCGGTCAAATGGTTGATCATCCAGCCTTGATAATGATATCCACCACGGAACTGATTAGATGAGATATTCTTGCTACTTGCTAGCTTCTCATGTTGCTCTATTGACCTTGATGTATTTACTCTCTTTTTCGCTTCTCACCAAACCGCTGAATTATGTTACCCATCTGTCACCTGAATATAGGGATCGAACACAAGTTCGTTTCCGGATGTATTTTACCATCAATGAAAATCCTAACTAACAGTGAGAGATTCAACTTTCTTTTTGGAACAAACATGACTGTTTGTTAGAATTGTGGTAGCATTAAAGGCACGTTTGGTAAAGCTCCCTGCACGGATTCAGCTCCGGCTCTTGCCGAAGCCCTGTAAAATAATGCACACAGTAACAGCTCCAGAGGAGAAGTCCGCAGAAATGAACTACAAAAATTGACTTCACTAGGCTCCTCACCTATCCACACCCCAAAAGGACAAGACCACCCTCCTCTTCCATGACACGCATGACGTTGGGGCCTGTGGGGCGACGCGGCCCGGCTACCACCAAGCATATAGCTCAGCAACCAGGCCAACAGCCTCCATGGCGTCATTATATTGGCCTCAAGTTTTTAGAAAAAAAAAACCTCAGAGATATATGATTTAAAAAAAAACTCAGACCGCAGGAGTATAGCATGTGCCTCCGAGCATTTCGCATTAAGGTAGAGGGCTTCTCACCTAGTTGGAGAAAACCCCCCAACATCGTACCCGCCCGCACGCAGGGGCATGTTACCCTATGAGTGGGCCAGTACCACAAACTTGTGATTTAGGTAACGCGGGGCAGACGATGTTTTTTTTACCGTCGGCACTACAATTCGCCCTCGTGGGGGATCGAACCCATGCCGCGAGGGTACCACCCGGAGTGCTTGACCAGCCGGTATAGCATCCGTTGGCATATATGATTTAAGTGTGATCTCGGTGTCTTGGATATCTTCTAAATTACCCCTACAAGATTTTAAGTTGCTATAATCTAGTCCAAGCCAGGCCTTTTTACGGATTTCACCATGTCTTTCATCAATTTGTGAACCATGTTCTTTGTGCCATGCTAGTTTTCTTTACTAACCCCTAATGTCTATGGTTAATTGCAATCTAGCACCTAAATCTTTCTAATAAAACAATTTAAATTCCTTGTGTATACCCAAGTCAAATACGTAAGGGCACAATGAAGATTTGACTTCTTCTATCCTTTCTTGAAAAAACAAGTGTGTGTGCAGAAGATATGTATATTCTATTGATAAGATTGCATCTCGAGTTCGGCCATATGTGTATTTATTTAAGCAACCTAATCTTATGGCTCGCGCTAGTGAAGCGTACGGAAGGCAGCTCTTGGGATTATTGGGTTAGTTTGCTTAAATTGGGTTAGTTAATAGGATAACAATTGGTCTCGCTAACCTTATTAGTTATTAGTGATTTAGTTGGGTCTTTTTTTTTAATAGCGGCTTTTGGTTTGATGGTCGGAGTAGCCGTCACTGACACATCTTG